CAGACATACACAGACACACAGGCAGAGAGAGAGAGAGAGAGAGAGAGAGAGAGAGAGAAGCATAACAACTTCTGAAGGTTAACGTCCCCAAATGTGGTGAAGACACAGGATTGGTGTTTTCGGTCTTTTTGAGAGAGTCTCCCTGTAGCCCCAGCTGGCATGGAACTCACTATGTAGACCAGGTTGGCCTTGAACTCACAGAGATCTACCTGTCTCTGCTTCCCAAGTGCTGGGATTAAAGGCGTGAGCCACCATACCCGGCGACACAGGATTGGTTTGGAGGGAGAGGGGAGGAAGGGATAACAGGGTTCTTCCCTGACTCCTCTGAGGGGATATTGGGGAAGGGTAGAGAAGCCACATAGATGATCAGTTCCAGTGCCATGCATAGGACCAGAATGATGTGCCCACAGAGCCAAGGGCTCCCCAAAATGGAATCAGCTTTACCTTCTAGAATTAAGCAAGAAAAGCTATGTTGATTAACAGCAGACAGGCTTCTTCCAGATCTTTTAGAATGTTCTGTTCAAACTCATTTCTTTTCTTCTTTTTAAAGTAAATTGTAAGCACCTACATTTTCATTTCAGAAACATCTGCCAGGCATTCTTTTCCGTTCATGCTCCTCCGAACCTGTCCTCTGAACCCAGTGCCTGATGGCCTGGTTCACAAGGTAAGCCTTGAAAATTATAAAGTGGGTGTGGGAGGACATTTTTTTGTATGTTATTTGTGTCTATTTTTTTGAGACAAGACCTCATTCTATAATCCAGGCCAGCCTGGAGCTCCTGGTAATCCTCCTGCTTTGGCGTCCCAAGTGCTGGTATTTGTGGCATGCTTGGCTCATTTTCTTCCAGCCTTAAATGTTTTTTGGCCTGGGTAGCGTGGGAGAGATTGTTAGTGAGTCATCGGTAGCTTCTTTCCTGGAAGTAGAGCCCCTGAATTTTAAGTCTTCAGTATAGACCACATCTTTAACAAGCTATGGTGGTAAGGTGTGTCCTTCATTCATGTAGCTAGAGCTCAGACAAAATAGCAAGGCCTCTTGGGCATGCAGATGAAGGCAACACCACAGGACTGGTGCCTCTGAGACAGAGGGCTGGACAGCCTCGTGGGGCAGAACCATCCTATCAGCTTTGCTGTCTTCCCTGGGCTGTTCATAGGAGAAAGCAAATTTAGATTTGCTTAAGGCATGGTAAAGTTGGGTCTTATTATAGTAGCTCAACTTATATCTTAAGTACCACATGATGAAAAGACGGAAGACTGATCAATGTAACAGTATGTGATATAGTCAAGAAACTTAGCAGGGGTCAGGGATGGTGCTGAGTTGTGGGTGAATGTGTGCTGCAAGGTGGTTCTTAGAAGTGTCAGTACTGTGTCTGAGAATACTAAAGTAACCAAGCTCTAAGAAGACAATAAAGCTGGGGATGGTGGTGCACGCCTTTAATTCCAGCACTCAGAAGGCAGAAGCAGGAGTATCTGTGTGGGTTCAAGGTTATCCTGGTCTACATAGTAAGTTCCAGGCCAGCCAGGGCTACACAAAGAGACTCTGTCTTTTTAAAAAAAAAAAAAAAAAAGCCTGGTGCGGTGGTGCGCCCCTTTGATCCCAGGACTCTTGAGGCAGAGACAGGTAGAGCTTTGTGAGTTCAAGGCCAGCCTGATCTACATAGCAAGTTCCAGACCAGCTAGGGCTACAAGGAAACCGTGTCTCAAAAGATCAAAAAAAAAAAAAAAAAAAAAAAAAAAAAAAAAAGGATCTCTATTAATGCAATGCTAGAAAAACATTAGGAATAAAAATGTTACTTCTCACTATAATTCAATTAGAAAATCTAGTGCATTAGAAGTGATTAAAACCCTACCTCAATATATTTTTGCTGACTTTAGGGCCAGTTTGATGTTTATGTTTGTGAAATTCTGGTTTAAAGGAGAAAGGATTAATGAACATATTTACCTATTGTTTAAAAGAATTCTCCAGGACTGGAGAATTGGTTAAGCACACTGGCTGCTCTTGCAAAGGATCTGGGTTCAATTCCCAGAACCCACATGGAAACTAACAACTGTCTGTAACTCCAGTTCCAGGGGAATCCAACTCCCTTTTCTGACCTCCACAGACATTGCACAACATAGATGCACTTACATACATATATAGGCAATACATTCATACACATAAAATAAAAAATAATAAAAATATTTAAAAAAGGATACCCCAAGGCTAGGGAGATGGCTCAATCAATAAAGTATCTGTAAGCATCTGGACCTGAGTTCAGATCCCCAGCACCCATGTTAAAAAACAAAAGCCAGGCACAGCAGCAGACACTTGTAACCCCAACACCAGGGAAGAGGCAGGAGGATCCCTGGGGCTTGCCAACCTGCCAGTCTAGCTACATCAGTGAGCTCCAAGCTCAGGTGAATCCTTGTACCCCCCCCCCCAAATAAGGTGGTGAGCTATTGAAGGAGATACCTGTGTCAGCCTCTGACTCTACACATACACAAACACCTACATACCCACACACTCCCCCATACATACACTAGGGAAAAAAAAAAATATATATATATATATATCACAGAACCTAGAATATTCTTCTTAGGGAAACCGCAATGTATCTCCTATTGAAGGAGATACCTGTGTCAGCCTCTGACTCTACACATACACAAACACCTACATACCCACACACTCCCCCATACATACACTAGGGAAAAAAAAATATATATATATATATCACAGAACCTAGAATATTCTTCTTAGGGAAACTGCAATGTGTCTGTACTTTGCAAATTCACAGACAAGGCCAAAAGACTGAACTCTATGGTACACAAACAACAGACACAAGGCTAAGTAGTCCAACTAAATTTCCACCTTCCAAATTCCATGGAAATTACCGTGTCATTCTGTAGGTGTCGATGACGTATAGAAACAGAGGTCGTCAGAATTCCATCACGTCTCTGGGTATCTACAGTAAGTAATCCTGCTCCTTCCGAGCACATCTGGACTGTGCACGTTATAAAAGTTAAATTCTCTACTCAAAGGTGAAGCTTCCTTTGCCTGGAGTGAATTTCTTAGTTCATAACTAAGTCTTTAAAGCCACCCACACCATGACCCACGCCCTGGATCCAGTGGCGATGTGCCGGCCCTGTCCACTCAGTATGCATCTGGGAGCATTCCCTTCCTTTCAGCATGTCTGTGGCTGGAGGGTGAGAGTCTGTGCTGGCTGGAAGCACAGGGTGCATATCAATCACCCTGTTGGAGGGTGGTGAAGACACACTGTCCTTTTATCCAGTCACCACGCAGGCCCTTCCTGGGCCAGAAAGAAGGCTTTATCACATGGACGGCCTCATTGGCTTCAATGGGAACTGATGTTTGTGAAGTGCTGAACTGTCCTCGGCTCCTAGCTCACTTGTTTTTACATTCCTGAGAATTCCTGTTTTTACATTTAGAAGGCTGATTTAGATCCTGGTGTTCCATGCCAGCTGCATCTTTGTGACTAAAGATATGTAGGAATCCCGGAGGGGTCCCTATGCAGGATACTCTTAGGGAATGACTTCTGATGCAACCATGCAAAGCACCAGAGGGCTCTGTGTTTGAGCTCTGTGAGCATTTCTTTGTACCTACCTAGTTTCCTACTTAGTTGGTTGTTTAAATCTCACTTTTTTCTTTTTTTGAGACAGAGTCTAGATGGCCTGGAACTCACAATGTAGACAAGGCTGTCTTCAAACTCACAGATCTGCCTGCCTCTGGGATTGAAAGCGTGCGTTCACCACACCCAGCCCAAATTTCACTTTTAATGTAACAAGTTGAGATACTTTCTATTTCATGAGTGTATTGTGGACCCTTTTTAATTTTTGAGTCTAAGTGTATTGCCTGCATGTATGTAAGTGAACCCGGGTTGTGGAGTGCCCACTGAGGTCAGAAGAGGGTGTTGGATCCCCTGGAACGGGAGTTATGAACAGTTGTTAGCAGCCATGTGGGTGCTGGGAACCAAACCCGGGTCTTCTGCAGGGCAGCGGTGCTCGTAGCTGCTGAGCCGTCTCTCCAGCCCCCAGCTTTTTAAAGTTATTACTCATTTTGCTTTGCCCTAGTTGTCTTACTCCACAGCTTAGCGTACTTCCTTTCACTTCTGAATTTGTATTTACTAATGTGTCCCAAGTGGCCTGGCTCCTCCGAGGGGCGGGGCCTGCTGCGGAGACTCGACTGTGGAGCGTTAGCGACGGAGGGAGGGGCTTTTGGGCACTATCTTGGGAGGGAAGCGGTGAGGTACCAGGAAGGAATGGCCCTGGTGTCTGGCTCGCATGGACGCTAGAGGGGCCAGTTACCGACCTGGGGCGAGACCGTGGGCCCACCAGGTGTCAGCGAAGCTAACAGTGACTGTGGGTGGGGCGTGGAAGCAGTCTGGGACGAGGGCCACTGAGCCAGAGGAGCAGGGTCCCTTTCTTTGTAAACCACTCCCCTCACTCCCCAAAGATACAAACTGTGGAAAAGTCAGGTAAAAATGTGATTTGTCTAATAGCGCCAGGGACAAGGGGCCCTAGGAAACGCAGGTGACAACTAACCGGACACTCCTATGGCTCTTGGTTATGACAGAGCAGTCTTTTATGTGTATAACCAGCTCTCTGCAATGGGGACCAGGACTGGCTGACCCCAGCCATCGACCCAAGGAGATCACAGGTTTCCCATGGGCACCCCGGACTGCTGCTTTTTGTCTAGTCCTTTCAGGGATTTTGCAGCCCTACCTTGACCAATCTTCACTTTCTTGGACGAACTAGTTCTTGCCGGCCTCTGCGTCCCTTCCAGTCACCGTGTAAGCCCCTGTTGAGTTCACACTCTAGCTCCTCATTCGTACCCCTGCCTGTGTATTATTAGCTTTTGCTTAACCTCTGTGAACATTTCGACCTCAAGTTTATGCAGTGCTACTTCTCTGCATGGAAACCGGTACCAGTTCGTGTCCACCGCAGAGCCCAGCACAATCCCAGCACTGTTCGGCTCCCACACCGGCCGCCCGTCGCACTGTCCCACTCACCAGCCAGGGAGGAGATGACGACGATGCTGCCGTTACTCTGCTTCAGCATGGGCAGGGCAGCCACGCTCAGGACCACGTAGCTGAAGAAGTTGACCTCCATGGTTTTGCGCACAGAGAGGATATCATCACGGAAAAGGGTCAGCGAGGTGTTGGTGATGTGGTTCAGAATGAGCATATCCAGTCCCCCTGCAGAGACAACGGGGTTGAGAGAGACGGCCTGGGGCGGTCCCTTCCCGTTCCCCTCCCAAAGCTCTACAGGTCCGGAGGAGGAAAGCTGACAAGCAGGCTCACCCATGAGCTTCCCTGCCTCGGCAACAAATTGTTTTGCGAAGGTCATGTCTTCCATGGTGCCAGCAATGTAGTGGGCGGAGGCTGCTCCTAGTTCCAGGCAGCGAGACACCACCTGCAGAGAGGCAGCGTCAGTATGCCCTGTTGTAGTGTAGACTTTCAAGTGTCGTGTTGGGAAGAACTGGGCTTAAATGAGCGTTTGTTCACAGAGCTGTTCAGATAAGAAATAGTGTATGTATATGAGATGAGTGTGTGTGTGTGTGTATGTTTGTGTAAGTGTGTGAGAGTGAGTGCATGTGTACGTATGTTTATGTGTGAGTCTGAGTATGTGAGTGTCAGTGTGTGTGTGTGTCAGTACATGTGTGTGTATGTGTGTGTGTGAGTGCATGTGTATATATGTGTATGTGAATGTATGTGTATTTTTTTTTAATTGTAAAAAATTTTATGTGTATGTGTGTGTTGCCTGCATGTAGGTAAGTGCCCCTGTGTCATGCAATGCCCATGGAGCACAGAAGAGGCTGTTGGATCCCCTGGGACTGGAGTTACAGACAGTTGTTAGCTGCCATGCTGGGTGCTGGGATTCGAATCCAGGTCTTCTGCAAGAACAGTCAGTGTTTGTAACTGCTGAGCCATCTCTCCAGCCCCTGTATGTGTATGTTTGGGTGTGTGTATGTGTGTGTGTTCCTAAACACCCCCTCATGATCACTGTGATCTTCTGTAATGGGGTTTAAGTGGATAAATCACGGTGCTGGAGTTTAAGCCCATGATTCACCTCCCCAGGGTTTGTGAACAGATGTTTTCAAATGCAGTATGGGTGTGGATACAGGTCTGTGTGGTAGCTCTAGGTTTGTGAGTGCTGGTATGACCTCAGGCTTTCGAATCTGTGAGAGTCTGCGGGGCATGACGATGTGTATGCATGAACAGGCACAGGAATCTCAGTGCCCGAACTGCCTCTGTACAGTTCCAGGGGCAGATGTGTGTGAACTGTAAGTACACGCAGACGAAGAACTCTGTGACTTAACGTGTGTGCATGTGCTTAAAAGCAGAGTTTTATATGCCTATGGGTGTTTGAACCCGCATATGAGAGTGCAAAATGAGAGGCAAACCTTTGTGAGTGTGAGACCACGTTTGGGCATTGAAGTTCATTCTCTGTGGCATGGAACCCTTACCTTCTGGAGGCTTTCCTTTGACCTTGCTGTCAGCACCACATGGGCCCCCATCGTGGACAGATGATAAGCCATCTCTCTCCCAATCCCTTTGCTGGCCCCTGTGACGATCACTTTCTTCCCCTGGAGCATTTCTGGGAAACCACAAAGGAAGTGAGTGCCTGTGCGGCCTGTTTCACTTTCCCTCTTTAGAGGTCGGGATCAGTTTGCCTCACTCTGTAAACCACTGAGGTGACACCTTGAGTTCTTCATAAACATGCTCTCAAGTGGGGTTGGCCTGGATGTTCAGAGCCTTCCTAAAACCCCAGTGTGCAGTGAGCATGGAGACAAGGCCAGAAAGGTCAGAGTTCAGCTAAACTTCCTGAGTTCCAGATGCTTCTGGGATTATTTAATTTTGCTAAATTGAAAGGAAATTTAAAAAACAATCAGAATATGTGTTCCCAGAGATCCAAGGCCTCCCTCTACTTAGTCTTCAGCTCCGCGGCCCTTTTTCTATTTTGGCCCCTCAGTGGTCTCTCCATTGAACGCGGTATGGCTGAACTGTGGGTCTGGGTTTACCTTCATTTCTGCAAATTTGAAAGAGCTCTGCCTGGGGGGTGCCAAGCAAAGCAAGGCCCTCCCTACTTGGCTGCATGGTCTTCCCTTCCCGCCCCCTCCTGCCCACAGCCTGTGGCTGGAGGACACTGAGCTACAGCCCCATGACAGGGTCCCCTCTTTCTCAGTGCCTAAGGGCTCGAGAACATGTCCAGATCCGTAGGAATACCCCAGCACCCCTTTGTTTTAAGCCTGTTCCTCCAAATGAGACACACTGGTACTCACCTGGTCTGAACTCTTCATTCGTGGAATAGTAGTAGGCCAGGAAAAGCACCAGAATGGGGAGGAGGTATTTTTTCATGAAAGCCATCAGACAGGGACCTGGCTCAGGGAGCCCTGTAGGACACAGAGAAAACCTACAGAGCTTTCTACAACCTCCTAGGCAGGCAGCGACCTTCTGAATTGTGACATCAGGGACGGGGGAGGCTGGAGTAGTCTCAGGCAGTGCTAGCCAACTTCCCTGTCAGAGCAGCGATTGGCTTTGGGTGGGATCCCATTCGTCCCTGGCAGCCTGCGTGGTGGATTTCATAATGGACAATGTTTACTCCGTTTCATTGAGCAAGAGGCGACTTCCAGATGGCCAGGCTCATGACTGTGCAGGACTGGATTCCTGAGCATCCCTGCCCCGACATCCTCCTCTGAACACCATTGACACTGGCCGGCATCAGTGGCCTTGCAAAAATGGTTTGTCAGGGAGAGAGAGAGAGAGAGAGAGAGAGAGAGAGAGAGAGAGAGAGAGAGCGAGAGCAAGAGAGAGAGAGAGAGAGAGAGAGAGAGAGAGAGAGAGAGAGACAGCGCCAGCCTGAGAATGTGGGGCTTCTGGGGGAAATGTAAGTAATACCAAAGAGAGCCGAATGTAAGCCAAATCGCACCCTCAGCCCCACCCCCAGTAGGAAGCAATTAAAAATAAAGCAGCAAAATAAGCTCAAGAGAGAATGTGCACATCTTCAGAGGAAAATAAATAAATGAGAGCAAACAAGCCGTGTAAGCCCCACACCGACGTTCAGTGAAAAAGTGTTACAACATTAGGAGAAGTTGTAACCCAGCCAGACCCCGATGGCGGGAAACAAGCTCTCCAGCAAGAGCAATGGACAACGTACACTTATTACTTTAACAGAGAATAAAGTGGGGGGGGTACCGAGTGCCAAAACCAGAAAGAAAGGCAGTGATTAAACTGGGTCATGTGAATGCTATGGAGGGACAGGAACTACAAAGGATGCTGGGAAGAGGAGGCCAGGGCAAGAGGAGACCAGGAACACCTTTGGCCAAGGGTACTGGGGATCCAACACAGGACCTCACACATGCCAGTGAGATGCTCCGCCTCCAGAGCCACACCCCCAAGCCTCTTTTTGGTTTTAACTTTGAAACAGGAACTTGATACATTGCCCAGGCTGTCCTTGAACTAGCCTGGGACCTGTCCCCTCTTGCCTCAGCCTCCTGAGCAGCTGAGACAATAGGCTTATACCGGAGGGTCCTGTGGAACCCAGTGTGCTGGCAGCAAAACCATCTTGGACTATTCATGTCCCAGCCAGACATGGATTCCATCGAAGACCAAGAGGAGAAACAACGTAGCAGTTAAGAATTTATTATTACGGCAACACAGAAATAGCTGTGTTAAGATTTCATTAAAGAAAAATCCTCAAAGAAAGAATTTAAGATTTGTCATGTTTTTCAACTTAAAACCAACCATCCAAATTATAAAATCACCTCATTATAAAGCAGATCCCAACTCTGCAGGTTACCAGTGGAGCAGGGAGGAAATCCAGTGTTCTAGGGAGTGAGATCTGTGGTAGGAGTGCCAGAGCCACACAGAGTTAGGAGAAGCCAACCATGACCCCTAAACAGGCTCTGGAAATATTCAGTGACTTTTCACTTCAGAGTAAGAGAAAATAATTGAAGACCCAGAGGAGATGAAACAATTTGTCAACAAAGGCTCACAGCTGCGAGGTTTGCTTCCAGAAAACACTAATGGTTTGAGAACAGAAGAGAGCTGGAGCTGAGGGCTCTCGGAGGACAGAAACAGAAGATGAAAGTGAGTAGGGACCGGAGTGAGTGCTATTGGGGTGCCAGAAAAATGAGCTGAAGTCTGTTCAGGACTGTATGCCACCAGGACGCAGTACAGACAGGACTCCGTTCCTACCCCGAGGGGGGAAATGTTAGGTTTCTTTTCCTAACCTTTTGTGATTAACAGTGAAATTATTAATTTTGATGCAGAGATGAAGACAATATCTTTTAAAATGTGGCTAATAATGAGATTATAGGAAACAAGAAATGCTTAAAAATATAATGATGGTGGTACAAAAGGAAGGTGGACAGAATAGGGAAGTTAGAGAGAGAGAGAGAGAGAGAGAGAGAGAGAGAGAGAGAGAGATGGGGGGAGGATTGTAGTCTACTGTAGAGAACACATTTAAAACAAGGATGGCCATGGAAACAGGCTGGAGAGCAGCAGACTGTTCAGCCAGCAGGGGTCCCTGAGCAGCCACACAAGTCAGTGAAGCCCAACACTGTGTGGCTCACAAGACACGTTAAACCCCAGCAAACAGCCAACAGTCAGAGGACCCAGCAGTTAATGTGCTGTAAAAATAGGAAAACTGGCCGGACGTGGTGGCGCACACCTTTAATCCCAGCACTTGGAAGGCAGAGGCAGGCAGATCTCTGTGAGTTCAAGGCCAGAAAGAGAAAGCAACTAAAGCTTGGATACAAAAAAAAAAAAAAAAAAAAAAAAAAAAAAAAAAAAAAAAAAAAAGGAAAACCACCCACTACAGAGATTTTCATAGATATAAAAGAAACAATTTTTTGATAAAATGCAGTCATAAGAGAAAAAGGTAGTAACAGAAGTGACATGCCAAATTTTGGCAGTTCTCAAATGTTTTAGTCTCGGGACCCCTTTAACATGCTTAAAATTATCAAGAACTTCAGAATTTTATTTTTTATTTTTTTGGTTTTGTCTGGAGTTTTGAGACAAGGTCTTGCTATGCAGTCCAGGCTGACTTCAAGTTTGTGACCCTCCAGACTCAGCACCACTGCATCCAGCGTCAAAGGGTTTGGTGTGTGAAGGTGTGTATACATGTGTTTGTGCAGGCGCATGTGGAGACTAGAGGGTTTCCCCAGAGCTGTCCACTTCATTTTTTGAGACAGGGTCTCTCTCTGAACCAGAAGCAGGCCAGTTTGGCCAGGCTGACTGGCCAGAGAGCCCCAGGGATATGTCTGTCTCTGCTTCCTCAGTTCTGGGATTACAAGTGTGTGCCACCATGCCAAGAATTTCGTGTGAGTTCTGGGGAGCAAACTTAATTCCTCATACTTGCGTGGCAACTGAGTTCTTCCCCCCCCTCCCGTCAGTGTCAAAGAACTTTTACGTGTTCCACCTTTTGATATGGATGCAGAAATTAAGTCAGTGTGTTTTAAAATTCAAGACTATATAAGCTTTCATTTCCAGTCAGGGCAATAACATCACACATCCTGTAGCCTCTGGAAAGGTTAAATAATGTCAAAGTGTGCTCATGAAAATAGTTTTGACATTTAAACTGCCAAGAGGGTCTCGGGCCCTGGGGGGCTGCACTTTGACTACATCATATAACTACTATATAATAGTCACGGCCTTCACTGCACTCCATGTTCACATGGCTGGCTGTCTCGTTAGCTTGTGAGCTGGAGGACCTGGGCTGTGTCTTTCTCATCTCCACCTCGCTCCATTCACCCCAAACTTGTTCCAATATTGGCATTCAGTTAACCGCTTTTAGTGTAGTTTCTGAGGTGCAGCCGCAGCGGGGAGGTCTTCATGGAGGGAAATCACTGGGATTCAATATTCCAGCGAGGACAGATCCAACCCACCCCAGGCCCAAATCACAGCAACGAGAAGAAACAGGACACAGCAAACAGGGGCTCTCACCTGGTGCTATCTCCCCCTAGCCGGTGAACGTCCCTCTCATGCTGCCTGGAAGTTCGTTGCTGCACGATAGTGAGGACCCTCCTCTGTGAGACACCAACCACCTATGTTTTAAGAAGGCTTCCGGAGTTTTCATTTTTTTTTGTCTTTTTGGGACAGGGTCTCCCTGTAGCCCCAGCTGTCCTGGAACTCACTATGTAGACCAGGCTGGCCTTGAACTCACAGAGATCCTCCTGTGTCTGCCTCCCGAGTGCTGGCATCAAAGGCGAGCACCACGAGTTTTTATTTTTCAACTGAAATCTGTGTAGCTCAGGCAGACTTCAAACTTGTCGTCCACTTGCCACAGCCTCTCGGCAATTTGCAAAACCCCACGCAGAGTGTTCAGCAAGAGCCCTGCCAGGAACTCTTATCTGGCCATTCTCACCCCAAAAATGGATGTCAAGAACAGGCAACCAGGCAAAAGGTGGTAGTGGTGATGGGAAATGGTGTGCAGGATGGACCAGGTCTAGGTGTCCAGAGACCCAGCAGTGGGAGGTTCCCAGGCACTGGGCACAAATGCAGACTGTGAAGGGAGCATCTGCTGTTCAGAGGTGGCAGCTGCTGCAGTCACGGATGCTCAGGAGCTCCACTAGAGCAGACTTTTGCTTTGGGAAGCTGGTCCTCTGCAGGCACGGTGGGCAGCATCGAGTATGTTGCTGCCCTTCCCCAGGAGAAGGGCGCCAATGTACCCAAACTGGCAGCATTTAGGGCTCGATGAGAACACCTAAACTTTCCCCTTTCCCTCCACCCTGCCCCGTCCCAGGTTTCTCCAGGTCTGATTTTAGGAACTCATGAATCTGTACCACAGCTTCCAAATCTGTTCCCTGCAGCAGAGAGATTATCATTTTATATAATGTTACCAGTAACACTCTCTTCTCTGCCTCCTGCCTTTCTACCTCCTGACTGTCTAGCTCATGAGGGAGAAGTCTTTCAGTCCTGCATGGCTCTATACCTAAAGGACAGAGAGACTCATATGTCCTACCTGATGGCATCAGAGGTGCCAAAGGTGGGATGTTCCCAAGTGTGTTATGTGTCTTAACCTGGTGTCAGCAGGGGCAGGAAGCAGGTGGAGCACAGCCTGGAATCTCATTGCCTGGGATAGCTGGGGCCTCTTGGAAAAGTGGCTCTTCAGAGAGCTCTCCTCCTAGTGGTGAAGACTGAGATGATGTTGAATGGGTCACAAGGGCAATTGTTCAGGCCATCTTCCTATCCATTCATCTACCTATCCATCCATCCATCCATCCATCCATCCATCATCCATCTATCTATCTATCATCTATCTATCTATCTATCTATCTATCTATCTATCTATCTATCTATCTATCTATCTATCTATCTATCTATCTATCTATCTATCTATCTATCTATCTATCTATCTATCTATCTATCTATCTATCTATCTATCTATCTATCTATCTATCTATCTATCTATCTATCTATCTATCTATCTATCTATCTATCTATCTATCTATCTATCTATCTATCTATCTA